GGGCAGCCAGCCGGGGGTGCTGACAACCCGAGGACTCTAAATGAGCCCTTTCCGTTTGGGGAAAAACAACCCCCCAGGGTGGGAACACAAGCGTTGTGTCTCAGTCCTGAGGGGCACTTGGGAGTCTCGTTGGACACGCCCAGGCAGGCTGGGCTGGGTTCCCGTCCTGCTCCTGGGACACACTGAGCAGCACGTGGAGAGGGGGCAGGGTGGGAACACAAGCGTTGTGTCTCAGTCCTGAGGGGCACTTGGGAGTCTCGTTGGACACGCCCAGGCAGGCTGGGCTGGGTTCCCGTCCTGCTCCTGGGACACACTGAGCAGCACGTGGAGAGGTGGCATCTCTGGGCAAGGTGGATAGAATCAGCTCAGCCACAAATTCACTCCCGTTGCCTGTAAATCAAGGGATTATAAAGAACAGCCCTGGTCCTGCAGCAACAACTGACACCTCGCTTGCCTTTCCAGACCTTTACAGCATTATAGACATTGCCTATAACCCAGATGTTCTCCAGAGGGGAGAAGAAAACCCAGAAGAAATGGAACACTTGATCCATTTGACTCTCAAGTTTGTGGAGGAACGATGCAACCTGCCCCTTGCTCAGCTGTACAGCAGGGAGCCCTTCAGGCTGAAGGGCAGCCTGGAGGCCATGCAGGCACGGCTGGGAGGGAGGCAGCTGCCACCTCCCTCCTCCAGCCAGGACACAAAACAGGGTATGTAGAGAAGATCTGCAGCCCCTTTTGTGCACCCACCTCTGGTGTTGGGACAGCTGGGAGGCTGTGGTGACACTGGGACAGCAAAATCCCTTCCTCCTGTTACCTGCTGGCCATGGGAACTCTGCTGGGGTTTGACCTGTGGAGGTGGCAGGGTTCTGCTCCAGCTCAGTCAGTAAAGGTGGCTGCAGGGATTAGGATTCCAAAAAGACCTTTTAACCCATTGGCAATAAATCCCAACTCATGGGGGAAGGAGAAAGTGGCAGTAAGAGTCTTCAGCTGACAAAACTGCTAATTAGAGTTGTCTTATTTGCCAAGTGGTGTCACAGTTCAGCTCTTAGTGATACCTGTGCAAAAACCTTCCTTTTTCTTGCAAGAGCTGACACTTGCTGAGCTGCTGCAGGGCCTGGGAGCTGAGGAGTGCAGCAGAGCTCCTGTGCTGCTGAGGGAGGGCACTGAGCCACGGGCTGAGGTGCCTCTGATCCAGGAGATCCAGGAGATACAAGAGATCCAGGCTGGGGGAGCAGAGCAGCCCAGAGCTCCTGCCCACCAGGTGGTCACTGTGAAGGATGCAAACCAGAAACCCCTCCGAGTTGAACTCAGAATCCAACTGCCCCAGCTCAGCTCTGTTGCTGAGTGTGATCTCAGAGTTTCAAAGGTGAGGCAGCAGAAAGAATCACCTGGAGTTTTTCTTGTCCAGTATCCAGGAAAATGCTCCATTTGCTGTCAAATAGTTAACCAAGTTTGTTTTTTTTTTTGGTTTAGGATGATTTGATCATTGAAGTTCCTGAAAAATATAGACTGCACTTAGATCTGCCAGAGCTGGTGGATGAGGAAAGAACTACAGCAACATTTCACAAGGGAAAAGGGGAATTGTTGGTCTCAGCACCAGTGCCAGGGGCAGATCCTTAAAGGCTGCCTTGAGCTCATGGGCAAGGTGAGAGCAGAACAGAATTCCAGAAGGAGAATCCCAGCTTTTAGCTCCTGATGAGGTTTTTTTAATGACTTTCTGATCCTAAGGGGGGAATACCCCAAATGCCTTTGGAAGACACATGTAGGAAGGGAAGTCTGGATGAATCATCCAACTTAGGGAAAAAAATAAGATTGTAAATATTAAAGGAGAATTTGATTAAAGAGCCATGAATGGACAGAGATTTTACTACACCAGTCAGATGCCATAGAACCATGGGATGGTTTGGGCTGGAAGGGACCTGAAAGATCATCCAGTCCCACTCCCCTGCATGGGCAGGGACACCTCCCACCAGCCCAGGCTGCTCCAAGCCCCATCCAACCTGCCCTTCAACACTGCCAGGGATGGGGCAGCCACAGCTTCCCTGGGCAACCTGGGCCAGGCTCTCACCACCCTCACACTCCACAATTCCCTCCTCATCTCTCACCTCAATCTCCCTCTTCCAGTTTTCATCCCTTCCCCCTTGTCCTCTCCCTCCCTGCCCTTGTCCCAAGTCCCTCCCCAGCTTTCCTGGAGCCCCCACTGCAGCAAGGAAGCCAGGATGATTATTAAAGTTCACCACAGCAATCAAGCAGGGATTAATCTGGAACATTTGTGATGACAACTGAAGGTTAATGGGGTGAATTTCACAACCTGAAACAGCTCTGCCTGTGCCCAAGCAGTGAAGCCACACATGAGTGAAGAGAAAAGCACTGGAACATGTTTTAGTAGTTGTCAATTCCAAACATTTAATAGGACAAAGGTTCACCAGAATTGAGTCTGGAACCAAGAGACTTTTAGATCATTAAAGAAAACAACCCAAAACTTTAATGCACTTTCTTTTTGCTTAAGCCAGGCATGAGAACCAGGTACCACAGCAATCAGACATTAAATAGTTCCCACAAAAATATTTAATTCCCACAGTCTTTTCTTTCAACATCTTTAGTTAGAGTTTTGTAGAACTTTACAGGAGACAGTATTTAATGCAATATACAGAATAACAGAGCAGCTGTTCTCTTTTACCTCCTTCCCCCCTATTTAATCCTCCTGGTCACTTGATAATTACTGCACAGTCGTCCTTTTTACATCAACATTTCCATGTGGAAAGTGGAATTTCAGAATGTTCAGCACTGCATCCCTTTGAGGATACAATGTCTGGGGTAACTGGACACCAGCCCAACAAACCACTGAAGCTTTTTACATACAATATATACATGGACAGCACATTCTGCAGCTCACTGAGGCTGGGATAACATGGACAATTCAGGGAAGAACCACACTACCAGGGACTAACTTGGAGCTTCCTATGTTAGAATGGCTGGAAAAAAACACAACAGAATTCCAAACATTCAAGTCATCACATGATTAACATTTGCCTATATGTGGGTTCCAACACCCAGATGTTCTCCTGAACATCCTGCAAAACAGTGACTTCCATGGCATCAAGAGTCTGGTGGGAACTTAGCAAGAGGAACAGCAAAGTTGAGTGAATGTCCAGGAGAAGGCACCACATTCCCTGTGGGATCTGAGAGCTGTGACCCCACAGGTACCCGTGCTCTTTCACCTTAAAGTGCTCAAAAGGGATCACAGAGCTGAGAAGGTCCAGCCCAGTGCCAAATTCCAAAGCAGATTTGGAATGGTAACACTTGGCATCTGAGAAACCCTTCCCAGGTGCTTCAGTCCCTCAGTGCATCCGTGATACTCACCCACCCCAGCAGGAGAGCAGGATAACAAGGGAATTCACCACCTCCTAACTTGCACATTTCAGTTCATCCGAACTCCTGGGAAGAGATGTTTTTGTCATTTGAATTTCTGAGAACACTGAGGTCATTCAATTGCTCTGGATGCACCCCCTGCTCACCCTAGTTCAGCAGCAGCCTGGATCACCTGTCAATCTGGGATGCTGAACTCTTGTTTTGGAAGAGTTTGCAAGTTAACCAACTGTATAAAAATACAGTATAGCTGTAATATTGCTCTGAAAAGCACTTTTGCAAACTTTTTTTCCTTTTTTTTTCTTTTTTTTTTTTTGTTATTCTGTACAGACTGGTAATAACATTACCAGATAATATAATACATCTTTAAAATTAAAAAAAAAAAAGGAGGGGAAAAAAAAAAAAGGAACTCTTTTTAATAAGTCTGAACACTAAAGTCTAAATAGCTTGTTTCAAACAAAAACAGTGTGACCCAGGAAAATCTTGCTGGCATGGTTGAGATTATAGCAGCATGGTTACAGGCTTCTCAAGGAAACTCTTGAACTCAGCAAGCCACTGGGCTCCAACTGCTCCATCCACAACACGATGGTCACAGCTGAGTGTTACAGACATCACACTGGCCACATCAAATCTGAAAGAAGGAGGGAAAAAAAAGGTCAACCATCCTCTGCAAGTCACTGGGGAAGCAGAAAAAAAGCTTCTGGCAGAGAACTAGCAATAGCAGTTGGTGCCTGAGGATAGATATTTGTCCCTGTGGGCTTCTAAATAAAATATCTTGTAGAGCAGATCATGCTACTTCCTTTTCTACAATCATGAAACACATTTGGATGCTCCTTTTAGGACATGAAGCTCAGCTTTCCTTCCAGCACCAGAACAGCTCTACACAGTCACAGAAAAAGAGCCATTTTACCCAGTTACTGCAGTTTCCCCACATGTCACTGAGATACCCAGGAGTGTGGGGAAGCTTAACTAGCCCCAAACATTCCTCTGCCAGTTCCAGCCCCAAGCAAGGTGACACTACACACAGGAATTCTGATCCACCCCTCATGCTTTCCTCAAACACAAATAGAAGCCAGTAGTTAAAAAGGAAAAGGTGCCTAAACTGTTCTGGATCCCAGACTCTTTTCCACAGCTTCACTCTCCCTCTCAAAGAAAGAAACAGCCTTTCCTTCACTTGCAAAGATTTTTCAGGGATAAATGTATGGCAGATCACCCACCACTCACTGCATTTCTCTTTCATGACCCTTTTATACAGGATCTCACTGCACAGCAGTGTGTCAACAATTCCATGTATTTGTTTTAAATTATACTCTAATGGAAAACAGCCTTTATTTCAAAGTCTGAATTCAGAATTTCAGTAGATGCCAAGTCAGATGGACACTTACCCCTTCTCATTATCAGCTGGCACCAGCCTCTTCTCTGAGGAGCCAACTGCAAGGATGCAGGCTTGAGGTGGATTGATGATGGCAGAGAAATTCTTAATCCCATACATTCCCAAATTGGAAATGGTAAAAGTCCCACCCTGCAAGAAAAACACATTCCTAAAAGCTGTTTGGGAATATTAAAGTGTGGAATGTTACTGAAGGTAGCTGAAACATCCCAAAATGGGCTCTGCTCCTTCTGAGCAGAAGTCAAGGGCAGCAACCCCAGCGTCCCACCTGGAATTCATGAGGCTGCAGTTTCCCCTCCCGAGCTTTAGCTGCCAAAGAAACCACATCCTTGCTGATGGAAGCCAGGCCCTTGATGTGTGCATTGAACACGATGGGAGTGATGAGCCCAGCAGGGGTACTGACTGCAACACTGACATCCACCACGTGGTTTCTGCAGGACACAAAGGACATGCCAGTTACTCCAGGAAAAAAAACCCAACAAACCCTTCAGAACTCTTCAGACAACTCTCAATTCATGTTGCAGCAGTTATTTCACCTTGCACAGCTCAGACACAAGGTTCTTAACACTGTCAAAGCCTCTCTGCATTATACCTGTTCCCCTCACTCCCCAGAACCCCAGCAAAAGGGCTGGTATTTTGCCATGAGCTCTTTACTGAACAAAGAAAGTTTCTGGCTTCGACCGTACCATAAACTTACTGCCTAATAACTGTGTCCATCCAGGAGGAATTTGCCTCAGGCACCTTCAAGCAGGCCAGAGCAGAAGCTTTAATGATGAAGTCATTGACAGAAAGCTTAATGTTATCCGAGACCTCCTGAAAATAAAGGGATTTGAGACATCAGTTTGTCCCTTGGGCATTAACTGACTCACAAACATGTTAGAAAACAATCACACGACTCAACAGCATCAGTATTTGAAGAGCCAAGGTCATTTAGGTGAACACATCTTCATTAATTTAAGAAGGTACCATTTTGGAACATGTTTTTTTTCCCTAAACTTCAAATTACTGTTTTGCTTAAACTTTCCACCCTTTTTACTCTTAAAATTCCCAGCTGGAAGAGCTGACCCCTACCAGGCAGAGCACAAACCAGCCCTGCTGGGAAGTCAGAAATCAGTGCAGGGCACCTGGGTGAAGCCTCATTCACAGACAGCCCAGAACTGATCCACAACAGCTAGAAAAAGGCACTGAAAAGGCTCTTTTTTCCCCAAGCCAAACAACATGACCACCCCCTTGCAGGGGAGGCAGCTCTCCCTGCAGCCTCTCACCAGGCTCCTTTACCTGATTGAGTTCTTTCCTTAGCACCAGCACTTCTCCCATATTTACATCAATGGAAAGGTAGTAGTGAGGTATTGTTTGTTTGGACTGCATCAGCCTCTGGGCAATGACCTGCAGGGACACAACAGGAGGGAGGGAAATGCATCTATCTGGGAAATCTGTGACTGCAAATCATCTTGGACAGGGGTAACACCACCTTCTTACCCTCCGGATGTTGCTGATGGGGATGTCTGTGAAGGTCCCCACTGGTGCTGCTGCAACAGCAGCAGCTGCAGGAGCTGCCTCTGGTGCTGGGGCCTGCAGGCAGAGAAAGAGACATTATTCCCAGTGCTTCCCAGTATCAGGGTGATTTGGAATGTGGGACAAGTGGGTGCCTCTTGCTTCAGAGCAGCAGATCATAGAATCATGGAATGGTTTGGGTTGGAAGGGACCTTAAAGATCATCCAGATCCAACCCTGCATGGGCAGGGACACCTCCCACCAGCCCAGGCTGCTCCAAGCCCCATCCAACCTGCCCTTCAACACTGCCAGGGATGGGGCAGCCACAGCTTCCCTGGGCAACCTGGCCAGGGTCTCACCACCCTCACACTCCACAATTCCCTCCTCATGTCTCACCTCCATCTCCCTCTGCCAGTTTTCATCCCTTCCCCCTTGTCCTCTCCCTCCCTGCCCTTGTCCCAAGTCCCTCCCCAGCTTTCCTGGAGCCCCTTCAGGCACTGGAAGCTGCTCTAAGGTCTCCCTGGAGCCTTCTCTTCCCCAGGCTGAACACCCCAACTCTCTCAGCCCACCTCCATAGGATATTTATACTCTCCAGCCTCCCCTCTCCAGTACCCACTAGGTTCTTTGTAAGCCCTAGATCTGATTATTCAATGTGGCACTTGAGTGATTTAGAAATGCAATTTAGAAAAGCTCCCAGAAGAACAAGTCCTGCTTGGATTGACACTTCCCAGCAGAGAGGGGTGCTAGAGGGCACCTTCAAACTGCACTCAGGTACACACAAAGCACAAGCCATGAAGAAGAGATTTGTGGCAACAATGACAGCAGGCTGCTGGTCCCCAAGTTTGGGTTTCATGGGAAGTGCCTCTTCCCAGCACTGCTGGATGAGCTGCACTGAGCTCACCTCCATAACCATGGAGGAACCAAGTGAAGGGTTGGGAGCACACAACCATTTTTTCCTCAGTGAAAATACCCAAGGGGACAAATAATGGAAGAAAACTCTCTGTTTCTGAGAGGGAAAGCTTTACAACCCACCCAGCCAACAGGGCCCACCCGTGGTCAGAACCCAGTTCCAAGAATAACTGCATTTCCACCACAACCATCAGATGCCCCTTCTTACAGATCTTAAGTCCATACTCACTGGAGCAACCTTTGGTGGCACAAATGACTCCACATCCTTCTTTGTGATTCTACCATCTGGTCCAGTTCCTAAAAGGTTCAAAGGAAAAAAGAAAAACAACATAAAAAGACTTAAATTATTTGCAACAGGGCATTGCTTCTAGAGGTACCAGTTTTATTCCACAGAGAGAAGTCACTCAACCCCTGCTGAGGACACAGCCAGGAGATTCCTGGGGGTGCAGACTGGGCAGTGAGAGCAAGGAAGGGAAGGACAACCCACCTTTCACTTGGGCAAGATCAATTCCTTTCTCTGCTGCCAATTTCTTTGCCAGGGGACTAACCAGGATCCTTCCTTTGTGGGCAGGTGGCCCAGCTGTGGGGACTGCTGGAGTGGAGGGAACAGCAGGCTGGGGAGGAGGAGGAGCAGCTGGAGTTGCCACCACCTTAACAGAGGAATCAAGGCCATTAGCTTCAGGATTATCCAGCAAATGCCTTGAAGGCACAGAGAGAAAACAGTAACATGGAGTTACCAGGCAAGAAAATAGCAAAAATAGTCACTAATCTGAAAGAACTTGCAGGTTCAGGTTAAGTTTCCCAGTGGCAGAAATTAAATGAGAGGCTTCCTGGGAAGGAGGCAAATGAAGCTGCTGAACTACACACCAAAACCAGGTGAAATCAACAACTTCTACTCCCAGTTTTGAAGGATGAGGCACTAGTCCTGGCACCAGCAACAGGCTGGAGAGGAGATCACCAGAATTACAATCTGCTTCAGGTTTTGGAGGGCAAACTAGTGATCCTTCCCAGGTCACCTACCACCAACATGTGTTGGCCCTGCATTCACCAAACCACAACCATGATTGTTTGAGCCAGGGCAGAGCAGCTCAGCTCAGAGCTCTTACTGGTCTCCATAACTTCCCCCACACACTAAGAATGGTCCTTACTGGTGGTGGTGGAGGAGGAGGTTGTGCCTTGATGTCAGTTACCACAGTGGCCTGGTAGTCAGCAAAGGCTGGAATATCTGACTCCTTCTCCACAATGATGCAGAGAGCTGTTCCTAGTGGCACATCTCTTGTTCCTTCAGGCACCAAGATTTTAGCCAAGTAGCCTTCCTCCTGCACTTCAAAGCCTGAAAGGGAATGAAACAGAGCTTGTTTTGTGCCTGGTGCACCTGAAGGGTTCCTCTAAATGCTGCTTCTGAGGACTGAGGTAGCTACAGCTCTCTCCTGTGCTTAGGAAGTAGAAGAATCCTTTTTATTGCAACTGGTAGAAAAACACCTCTGTGCCCTGCATGTTCCTGAGGATTGATGGAGACACAGAAATCTTTGTAGGAGCTCCAATGTCTACAGCCCTCCAGTGGAATGAGAAGTTAACCAAACCTACAGCTTCACAGCCTGAGCAGCCTCTGGATCCTCCCCTTTTAAGGGCACCTCATCCACTCTGGGCTTTGGAGCTGACTCACCTATTGTGGCCTTATCTGTCTCGATCTCTGCCAGTAAATCTCCCTCATTCAGCTTCTCCCCGACCTTCTTCTCCCACCTCTGCACTGTGCCCATTGTCATGGTGGGTGACAGGGCAGGGAGTGTGATCTGTGAAGCCAGAAAAGAGAAGAGAACCAGATTCTGGCAATCCCAAAGGTAGAGAAACACAGTTTGAACTCCTGACTGAAGGATGCCACCCCAGAGGGGCAGCCAGGCTTCTGTGCACTCCTAGATCTGGCTCCACCACACCTCAGTGCTGGGCCATGTTGCCACCCTGCCTTCTTTTCACAAGAGAGCAAGCCAAAAGAAGCAAGAAATCTGGATCTCAAAGTAATTATTCCCATCCTCACATGAGAAGTGTCTTGCTAAAACAAATGTCAGATTAAAAACCCTCCAATTCATCATTTGTTCAATTGCTAACTTGACCTCAGACAAATCAGTCTGAATGAGGGTCAGCATTCCAGATGTTCTTAGTATCCCAGATGTTCCTTTTCAAAGGAAAGTCACAGAACCCTCCTGCTACAAAGCACTTAAATGCAACAGTGGATGTCCACTCCAGTATCTCAGTGAGGTAAAAATACCACCCACAAACACAGCTCATTATTAGTCACCCACAGATGCACCTGGTGTGTTCACTAGAGCAGCACAGAGCTCTGCTCTGAGGTGCAGGCAGGGCCCTCAGAACCTACTCCCACTTAACACAAGGTGTTTTCCTACCAGAACTGCCCCAAATCATGCAAATGCAGCAGGTTTTTCTGAACTGCATAACAAGCCTGGAGGTGCAAGTCTCTCCTCTACTCACAGCTGGGATGCTACAATCATTTCCTGGAATCAAAAAGCCTCTGGGACCTCCCCAGGCACCTGCCTGAAGGATGAAAACTCAAGTGCCACACACCCCTGCAATTACAGCTCATGACTTCCCAATCCAGAGTATTTATCAGAAAACACCCCAGGGCTGCAATGCCAAAGAAAGCAGAAGACCCCAACAAGCCTTAACCCACCAGCAGTGCCCTCTTACCTGCATGTGGGGAGGGTAAGAGCTGCCAGGAGCCTGAGGAGAAGGCTGAGCTGGTGGGGAGGGAGCTGAAGCTTGAGGGGGAGGCACTGAGGCTGCAGGGGGGGCTGAGGCTGCAGCATCCAGAGTGTAATTTTTAAAGGCATCAACATGCTCAGGCCTAGGGGAAGACCACAAAACCCATCACACAAGGCACCCAGGAAGCCCTCAGGAGAGAAAATTCAACTCGAGGGGCAGCAAAATACATACTTTTCCACTGTGATACATATGATGGCCCCAATAGGAACATCCCGTGTCCCTTCTGGCACCAGGATCTTGGCCAGGTAACATTCCTCCAGGCTCTCAAAGCCAACTGTTGCTTTGTCTGTCTCCACCTTTGAGAGAGAGCAGGATATCATTATGGCAACACCCCTGGAAAAGGCCAGTGAGCTCAGAGCCTCCAGTTCTGGCAAAATCTCCCCATGGCAGCAGCTCCAGGAAAGGATCCTCTCCAACAGGTGAAGTGCTGCTCCTGCTCACAAAGAGGAAGAGGAGCAACCAGCTCTGAAAGGCTGAACGAGCCACTTGTTCCCAGCAGCACCTCTCAGGGTCTGATCTATGAACCCAAGAGAGGCAAGGAGAGAGAGAGGGACCCCAGGAGCTGCAGCTCCCCAGCCAGGCAGCACAGGATACCTCTGCTATGAGCTCCCCTTCACTGATCTTGTCGCCCTCCTTCTTCTCCCAGCGAGCGATGGTTCCCATCTGCATGGTGGGTGACAGGGCTGGCAGGGCCACCTGTGAGGGACAGGGCAGGTCACAGCACCGGGGGGACACGGGGGAACAAAGCAGAGCCCCCGCAGGCCAGTGCAAAAATTTGAGGCTCACAGCTCGTATTTTGTCACCATTTTGAGCTCAAAAGTCCCTATTTTCCAGCA